GTTACAGATCCGACACCGTGATGATGCCCTGCCTTTGGCCCATGTGGCCATTGCAGTAGAAGGACCTGGCTGGTCCAACCCAGACAATGTAGCTCTCCAGGTGGCCAATGCCATCATTGGCCACTATGACTGCACTTACGGTGGTGGTGTGGTAAGTGCCAGGGGTTGGCGTGGGACTTGCCTTCAGGAGAGAGAATGTAGGTGGACTATGTGCTCCTAAGCTTTGGAAGCAAGATGCTGATTGTCCTTGGCCTGGCAGCACCTGTCCAGCCCCCTGGCTTCAGTAGCAGCGGCCAAGAAGGTGTGCCAGAGTTTTCAGACCTTCAACATCTGCTATACAGAGACGGGGTTGCTGGGGGCACACTTTGTCTGTGACCCCATGAGCATTGATGACATGATATTCTTCCTGCAAGGCCAGTGGTGAGTACAAGCCTGGTACTACTGAGTGGGCTGGGGGCCTTACAACAGGGTAGTGGGAAGCTAAAATACAACACACTGTCTCTTAGAATGAACACCACTGCACCTTCCATACCCTGCTTTAGGATGCGCCTGTGCACCAGTGCCACGGAGAGTGAAGTGACTCGGGGCAAAAACATCCTCAGAAATGCCCTGGTATCTCATCTGGATGGTGAGTCCTGCAGCCTTGTAATGTGTCCTGGCAGTGACACCCAGACAGCCCCAGTGTGGTCACCATTCCTAGCCAAGGTTGGAAAGGCACACATTGAAGGTCAAGCCATAGCCCCCTGGGGATTCAGAACTTCAGGTGTGGGTGGGCTGGCCCAGGTCAGCAGCCCATTGCTACAGTAACAGGCTGTCGGGGTGAGGGTTATGGTCTGGGGTCAGAGCAAGGTCCTGCAGGTCCTGGTCAACCAGGGGTTGTGTCTGTGGGTCCAGGATTGGATTGTGCAGACCTCTAAGCCTTCCGCCACTTTTGAAGGCACCACTCCTGTGTGTGAGGACATTGGACGAAGCCTCCTGACCTATGGCCGCCGCATCCCCCTGGCCGAGTGGGAGAGCCGGATTGCGGTAATTCAGTTCCCAGAAGAGATTCTGGGGCATTGGCATGGCAGAGGCCTGCCGCTGCGGGGAGGGGGGCTGGGGTCTGACAAACAGAGACTGCTCCTGTAGCCATCTGTTGTCCTAGGCAGCTGTCATTTGCAGGAGTAGTGGAGTCAGGGCAAGATGGCAGTATCCCTTATGTGGGCATAGAGAGGCTGTGGAGATCCCCACTGCCTTCCCTCGTTTAAACTGGGGGGATAGCATCATAGAACAGCTCTGTAGAACATGTGTATGATCTTGGTCACTACAGAAGGTTAGCTGGCCAAGGTGGTGCCAGGGTCTGTGAGTCATGTGCCTTCTGCTTCTCCCTGAAGGAGGTGGATGCCCGTGTCGTGCGTGACGTCTGCTCCAAATACTTCTATGACCAGTGTCCCGCAGTGGCTGGATTTGGTGAGTGCCTAGGTCTGTTCTTTGTCTTTTTCCTTAGCCATTGTTTTGGCCTTCCCTTCCGTCTCTGCTCCCCAACCCCCAGCCTACACTGAGAGAAGCAAGTTGAGGGCCCCATGAGGCTCCTCCAGTAGCCTGGCTGCCAGGGAGTTCTTGCTCACAAAACCTGCCCCAGCAGCTCCCTGACTCCCTCCCTGCCAAGGTGCCTCCATCAATATCCCCACTCTCCAGGTAACGGGTACCCTGGGCATGGGGTGGGACTCCCAAGGGCCAGAGCATGACGAGACAGGCTCTGCACCCCCGAGGGAATGTTCTCTTTCCTCCTTTTACTCAAAGCCTGTCTTGTGCTGCTCTGGGCAGCAGCTCTGAGCTGGGTGCGGCACAGGGCCAGGTGTCCCTGCACAGGCCAGGCACCGCACCCTGACGCCTCACCCTGTATCCCCACAGGCCCCATCGAGCAGCTCACAGACTACAACCGGATCCGTAGCGGCATGTTCTGGCTGCGATTTTAGGCAGAAAGCCTTTTCAGGCAAGAGGGTGGGGCGGGGCTCCTGGCCCCTGACACAGACATACCACTCCGGCTCTTCCAACTACAGCAGAGTACCACCAATAAAGTATCCTGTTGAGAAGTGTGTTCTCCTTTGAGCATTGGCATGAAGTCTGTTGGGCAGGAGATGGGGAATAAGCCTTTCCCTCCATTTTTACATCCACTGCAACCTTCTGCTTTCCCTCAGGCTGATGTGTCCTCAGCCAGGGGCAAGAGTGGGGGCTGTGGCATAGAGGCCTTTGATGCTTTGCAGGGAACTGAGCCCAGATGTTTCCACTCAGCCACGGGATGTTCCTTAGCCATCCTGTCTCAAGAGTCGGGTGTGGGTGGCCATGGGAACTGCAGCCCCCCCTTGAATCCTGGCAAGGGTCCATCCCGGAAGCAGGACTCAAATGGAAAGCCCTCACAGTCACCCTAGTGTGGTGGTCTCCTCTGATGCACCACCAGAGGGGCCAGGGGCTATCCCTGAGGAAGCCTCTTTCCTGTGTTTACTCTAGATCCTGGGAGACATTAGCCTGAGGCACTCTTCTTTGGTTTCTGTTGCCTGGACAGGCAGGACAAGAATCCTTCGCCTCTTTTTGCCACTGACTCAGGTTCTAAGAATAGCCCTGAGCTCAGTGGAACCTGAGCCCCCTCCCTCTACTAGGTCTGTCCCAGGCAAGTCCTGAGCTGTTGGACCCATGATCCCCTCCCGTTATCATCTTAAGGCAATGAAAACCTCAGCTGCCTTGTCCTACTTCCCCTTTGGGCCCTAGTCCTCAAGGTGAGTTGTCAAGTAGGCCCTTCTTTCTGCACTGCCTCATTCCCTTACACAGGTTCCTGGGCTGTCCAAGGGAGAAATGGAAGGAAGAGCCCAATCCTTTGAGGAAGTTGCTGGCTGGCAATCATGAGTAGGGCCTGGGGACAAGATCATTGAGAAAGGGGTTTTCAGAAACCCCAGCATCCTAGGCTAAAAGCCCAGACAAGCCTGGAGTTACTCTTGAGGTGCCTTTCCCTCACCTACTTCCTGCCACAGGTTGTCAGTTAGGAGACATTTGTCCCATCACCAGAAGCCCAGGACTGAGCACTCTGGATCATTTCCTGCCATGTGACCAGCTATAGAAAAGCTGTTGGATAGTGTGGGATCCTGGCAGGGTAGCCCTGGCTGCTTGCAGAGATGAGGCGTCCAGGCATGGGGAACAAGTGCCTGGCATGTCGTTCTCAGTTCCAAGTCCTGGAGAATAGGGCTGGATTTCTCTTCTAGGCCAGTGCCTGACTCCAAGGGCATAGGTGTGCTGGATGCACAAGAGAATTGGAGCTCCTGAGTGGTCTGTTCTCGCCTGGGAACTAGGGCATTTACTCTTTGCCCTGGAGTCATGTTGGGGAGGTCCACCAGAGTTACTGTGAAGGAAAGGGGCTTGCTCAGGCTGAGGTTTATTGGCACTGGGGCTCTGGGGCCGGATTTCTGTGGTAGTCCTGGTGAGTCGGCCTGTGGTCCAGCCTTTCCTAATGGGCTACAGAGGTACAAGCAGGATAGCATCCCGGCAGACCCTGGAGGAGTGGTTGGAGGGCATGGCTGCCCAGCTTTAGCTGTGGTTCTGATGAGGAATTTGAAGGTGCACAGGACCCTGGGATGTGAGGGCTGAGGGAGTCACCTGGCAGAGCTGGTGACTGATACAGGGAAGGGAATGTCCAGAGAAGCATAAGAGGGAGAAGGTCTGTCTTCGGAGCTCCTCTGCCCTGATGGGAGGAGCTGCGGGTAGTCATGGTCCCAGGGCTATGCAACCTTTGGACATGCATTCATCCCTAACCTTGCTTTACCTTCCCAACTATTAGCATCCTTTGACCCCCTCACAGTAGCCCCTCCTTTCTGAGGGCTCCTTGGTTCTGCTGAGCTTTGCCCAAACACCCACCCATAGCTGGACCTTGTCTCAGGCTGGCCTACCCTGCATGTATGTCCATACTATATGTGCTATTTGCACACATGCTGCTTTCCCCCAACCTTGCTGTGTAGGAGGAGAGGAGGTGATGGCTCTAAGGGTGGAGACTGCTTCTGATGGCCTCCACTGCCTCAGTCTTCAGTACATTTTCCAGGGATGGAGATCTTGGGACACAGCTGAAGAGATCTTGCCCTTGGTAAAAGGTTCTAGACCCCATGAGGTCACAGCCCTGTGTCCTAGCAGTTAGTAGGTTGGGGAAGTCAAGGAGAAAGGGTAGCTCTAGGCAGCCCTCCTGGGTAATAGGAAAGTTGGCAGTATTGGGTTTCCTCACTGCCCCCAGGTCTGGCCACACCAGCGTGTCCAGGCCCGGAGGAGTCCAGAGAGACAAATATAACTGAAGTTCTGTCCGCATCCCATCTCCCCCGCTCAGCCCCTGGGTCCCAGGGGAGGGAAGCTGTAAGGCAAATGGGTAAGGGCCTAGTAGCAGTGAGTGCAGAGTTGCTTCCTTGCTGCCCAGAAATACCCAGGACTGGCAGGAAAACAAAGGGGCAGGACCCAAATGGGGGCCTGCTTTTCTAGAGTTGCGTCTCTGCCATGGCATCTCCCACCTAATAAAGAGATATGCATATACAGAAACTCCCTCAAGACAGTGGCCCTGGACTGGGGGCTAGGATGGAAACCTGGCCACTCAGAGGAGAGGGGCAGGAAGTCTGGCTGATGAGGGGAGTAGAGTGAGGCAGTTACAAAGGGGGGAGCTACAGGTACCTGAGGCAGTAAGAGGAGATAGGGCCAAGGGTGACCTCTGGGCCTGACGGTGGTGGGATAGAAGGGGTTTACAAGAAGAGGTGACTTGTAGGAGGGGACTCCAAGCAAAATGAGGATATGTAGGTAGGGATCCTGGCCTGGGGAGGGGGCATAGGCAGGAGGAGGTGGATTGCTGAGAGATGAGTTATCACTGTGGGTGGTCTTAACCTCCACATCAGGACAGCCCCCCCCAAACACAGCTGGTTGGCATCTGCCTGGGACTGGTTTGAGGCATGGTGGGGGGAGGGGAGCGGGGCATTGGGATGGACACATATGCATAAGCATGACAGGTTCTTTCCTCCTCCTGGCTGCTCCCTCCTCAGAGAGGGGTGCATTACTTAGATCCAGTCCGTTAGAGCCTTGGTGTCCCTAAAATAGGTCCAGAACCCCTGATTTGCTGGGGGCTACTCTGCTGTCAAGGAAGTTGGGGTGGGGCCCTCCTAGGAGGCCCACCAGACAGGGATGGCTGATTCACAAGGGTGGCGTGAGTCGGGACTCATGGCCTCCAGGCTTGTCTGGGCACCCCCACTAGGTGGGGGTGACTCATTCTCCAGCTGCAGCCTCCCCCTACCTTGGCACAGCTAGCTACCCCTTTGGTCTGAGGGAACCTGTCCACACTTCAGCCTTCAGCAGTCATTTCTCCGGTTAAGCTGTGACCCGACATGGGTTGGTTGGGAAGCTCTCTCTCCGCATCTCCTTTTCAGAGCCTCGGGGTTTCCAGACGCCCCAAGAGGGGCTTCAGATAGTCTGGGGAAGGAGTGGGGGCGGCAACCTCTGGGGAGGTGGGTGAGGGCGGGCGCTTGGGTCCCCGCCTGCGGCCCCGCCCCCTCCCCGGGGATGGGGACTTTTTCTGGAGCAGTGCTGGGCGGGACTGCAGCGGCGGCGGCGAGGGCAGCAGGAGCCGACTGAGGGGCGCGCAGGCAAGGCCAAGACTTGGGGTGGGGGAGTGCTGGGCTCCAACCTGCCAAAGCCACGGGGGCAGAGGCGGGGATCCTGGCTGAACGTTTCTGTCACTCAGGATGAGGTCGTGGCTCCTGGTGGCCGCACTCTGCGCTGGGATCCTGGTGGGGGTGCCCCGACTGCGGGCCCAACCTGGGGAGAGAGGTGCGCTCAGCGTCCTGTCACCCATTCTCCCGTATGGCCCTCATCTCTGCACCCAGAGCTCCATGACCCCCCCAACTCTCCTCAGATTCCCCGAATTCCCCACAATCTGGGGCTGGGTTCCCCGTGTGGCCTTATGGGCCCCCAGATGCATGCTGAGTCCCTGCCTTATGCTGCCCTCAGCTGGTCCCCAGAGACTGATTTCAGTCCCAGATCCACACCGGAGCACAACCCTGCCTCCCTGCATGCCCTGACTCTTGCAGGAGAGTAGCCTTGGGCCCCATGGGGTTCCCTCCAAATACTCCCAGGCCCAGGCCGTGCTGCCCGGCTTGCTCTCCACCCCATGCCCAGCCCCAGGGGTCCACGGTGCGGGAGGAGGGCGTGTGGACTTCCAGAAAAGATCGTGATCTCTCTCCTTGGGCTCCAGTGACCTGCACGCGCCTTTACGCCGCTGACATTGTGTTTCTACTGGATGGCTCCTCCTCCATTGGCCGTAACAACTTCCGAGAAGTGCAGGGATTCCTGGAGGGGCTGGTGCTGCCTTTCTCCGGAGCAGCCAGTACCCAGGGAGTGCGCTTTGCCACGGTGCAGTACAGTGATGACCCACGGTGAGTGTAGCCTTTTGGATGTGGGGACCTGTAGAGTTCACCACGAAGGGCAAAGTTGAGATACTCCTGGGTGAGTCCTTACAGAAACAGGATTTAAGGAGTCCAGAGAGTCCCTCCCCAGAACCCTCCCTGGAGGCAGGGGTAGGGAATTACTCCAGAGGGCACTTATGCCCCTAGAGTGCACTGCCCAACACAGGGAGGTTCTGGTTTTGACCTGGAGGAATATGGGAGGCCCAGGGGGCACCCAAGAGCCCTAGATGCCCGGTGCCAGTTGGGCTGTCTCCTTTTAGCTCCCTGACCCCTTCTGTGTCTCCATTTATTAGGAGCACTCCCTGGCTGGCCAAGATTCACCTTCCTACAGCTTCTACCAGCAATTATTTCACTAGACATCCTGTCCCCCTAGGCTGTGAACCCCAAGGGCTCCCTACAGGCTAGGCCCAGCCACTGTGGTGCACAAATGTGCCTCTGGGAATCTGTGAACTTGGGGGCTTCAAGCAGTGAGGGCAGGAAACACAACTGAGGGTTCCCTCAAAAGGCCTCATCCAGGTGCCTTCTTGGGGCCAGGGTTGAACAGGTCCTTATCCTTTTCCTGGTACCACCCTTGCCCCATCAGGACGGAGTTTGGCCTGGATGCACTTGGCTCTGGGGGTGATGTAATCCGTGCCATCCGAGAGCTCACCTACAAGAAGGGCAATACTCGCACAGGGGCCGCACTCCTCCACGTGTCCAACCATGTCTTCCTGCCTCAGCTGTCCCGACCCGGCATCCCCAAGGTGATCCTACTCCTATCCTGCTCCCAAGGTGACCCCAAAGTAAGCGTCTGAGGCAGCCCTGACTTGGCCCCTGCCCCTGGCTCAGGTCTGCATCCTGATCACTGACGGGAAGTCCCAAGACCTGGTGGACACAGCTGCCCAGAGGCTGAAGGAGCAGGGTGTCAAGCTGTTTGCTGTGGGTGAGTCCTGGTGAGAGTTGCCTGGGCGGGGCCATTCAAAGGACTCCTGAGCTGGAGAGTCCTAATTGGGTGTGGCCTCAGGAATCAAGAACGCTGACTTTGAGGAGTTGAATCGAGTTGCTTCACAGCCAAGTAGTGATTTCTCCTTCTTCATCAATGACTTTGGCATCTTGAGGACACTACTGCCCCTCATTTCCCGGAGAGTATGCACAACTGCTGGGGGCGTGCCTGTAACCCTGCCTTGTGAGTTCCTGCCCTACCCTGTGCCTGCCAGCCCCAGGCTGGGAGTGCTGGGTCTGTCTCCTGTGCTTCTCACCCTCCTCCCTCCTACCTGATCACTTGACTCCTCATTTGCAGCCCATGAGTTGTCCGGCCCCCGGGACCTGGTGCTGTCTGAGCCAGGCAGTCAGTCCTTGAGAGTACAATGGACAGCAGCAAGTGGCCCTGTGACTGGCTACAGGGTCCACTACACCCCTCTGACAGGGCTGGGACAGCCACTGCCAAGTGAGCGGCAGGAGGTAAAGCTGCCAGGAGTGAGAGGTAGGTGGCTGGTTCCGGGCTGGACAAGATGAGGTAGCCTGTGATCTTGGGCAGGTGAACGTCCCAGCTGGTGAGACCAGCTTGTGGCTGCGAGGTCTCCGGCCGCTGACTGAGTACCAGGTGACCGTGGTTGCTCTCTACGCCAACAGCATCGGGGAGGCCGTGAGTGGGACTGCTCGGACCAGTGAGTACCTTTGCCCACCTCTGACCCCTCCACCTACCCACCTGGCCCCATGCCCCTTGCCCATTCCAGACTCTGCTACTAATCCCTGTGGGCCCTTCCCCCAGCTGCCCTGGCAGGGCCAGAGTTGACCATCCAGAACACCACAGCTCACAGCATCCTCGTGGCCTGGCAGAGTGTGCTGGGTGCCACTGGCTACCGTGTGACATGGCATGCCCTCAGGGGTAGGTGGAAGGTGTGGGTTGACGGGCATCCCCACACTGTCAACAAGGCTGTAGGGTCCCGGATCTGCAAGGTCCCTAGAACCCTCTGTGCCTCCTGCAGGGGGTGCCACACAGCAGCAGGAGCTGGACCCTGGGCAGGGGTCAGTGTTGCTACGTGAGCTGGAGCCTGGCACAGACTACGAGGTGACTGTGAGCGCCATGTTTGGCCATACCGTAGGGCCTGCCACTTCCCTCACCACCCGCACTGGTGAGAAGACTGGAACTTTCTTCAGACTGGGTGGGCTGGCGAGGGAGGGTGGAGAGGCCACTCACGTCCCTTGTTCCGTGGCAGACACCTCTATTGAGCAGACCTTGCGCCCTGTCATTCTGAGCCCCACAGCCATCCTCCTTTCCTGGAACTTGTTGCCTGAGGCCCGTGGCTACCGGCTGGAGTGGCGCCGTGAGAGTGAGAGTGGTCAGTAAGTAGGTGGGCTGGGGTGAGGGCCTGGGTGTGGCTTCACCTGGCCTGATGCCGTCACTTTCCAGGCCTAGAGCCACCGCAGAAGGTGGAGCTGCCCAAGGATGTGACCCACTACCGGCTGGATGGGCTGCAGCCAGGCACTGAGTACCGCCTCACACTCTACACTCTGCTGGAGGGCCGCGAGGTGGCCACGCCTGCCACAGTGGTTCCCACTGGTGAGGGATCTGGGGGCTGGACTGAGCACTGGGAAAGTAAGGTGGTTCCAGGCTGCCTCTCATGCTGTGCCATCCAGCAGGGCCAGAGCAGCCCCCGGGCCCTGTGAGGGACCTGCAAGCAACTGAACTGCCCGGGCATCGGGTGAGAGTGTCCTGGAGCCCAGTCCCCGGTGCCACTGAGTACCGCATCACTGTGCGCAACACCCTGGGTGAGAGAGAGGTGGCCAGAGAACTCCCCACACACTGAAGTTCCAGCCCATGGTGTCCAAGTGCCCCTTCTCCCTATCTCTTTCCAGTGGGTCCCTACAGCCTCCTCCTCCCTGTGCCCTTATCCATATCCACCTCCCAAGCTGACACTGAACCCACAACTGCCCCTCTGGCTCTGCCTCTCCCTCTCCCCTCCCAGCTGCTTGCTTTACTTAGCTCTGTCTTCACGCTTTGCCTTGCCTTTATCTCTGTCCATGACTTCTTCTTCTTTTTAAGACAGGGTCTTGCTATGTAGCTCAGGCTGGGCTTTCACTCACTATGCAGCCCAAGTTGACCTCCCACTCGAAGTGATCCTCCTGCCTCAGCCTCCCAAGTTCTGGGAATACAGGTGTGCGCCACCACATCTGGCTCTGTCCATGGCTCTTGCCTTCCCTTCTCAACAGTCACCGCCCTTCTGTTACCCCAGCCGTGACCATTGTTGACACTATCTTCTCATCGTGTGTCATTCCACGCTGACCTCTCTTATCATGTATCAGTATCTGTCCGTGCCTTGTCGACTTGAATTACTGTCCACTGCTCCTGTCATCCTGCATGTTCCTGTTCACTGATCTTTGTCATCCAGGGTCCCCATTCAGAGCTGGCTCCTTTTACCCTGTATCCTCATCTCTCATTCACCTTTTTCATCTTCATCCCATCTGTCTGGCCGCCATCACCCCGCAAGCATCCCCAGGTCACCTCTTAACCTGTATCTCTGTCCACCACTGGCTGCCGTCATGCCACATCCCTGTCTCTTCTGACCTTGCCTGCCAATGCCACTTTCTGTCTTAGGGGTTGAGCGGACCCTGGTGCTTCCTGGGAGCCAGACGGCCTTCGACTTGGATGACGTCCGAGCAGGACTTAGCTATACTGTGCGGGTGTCTGCTCGCATGGGCCCTCGGGAGGGTGGCTCCAGCATCCTCACTGTCCGCCGAGGTGAGCGCTGCAGTAGGCTTGTGAGGACAGCTGCTTGACTCACTCCTGCCCTGGTCTTGATCCTTGGCTCTCATCTATCTTTAACCATTAGAACCAGAAGCTCCCCTTGCTGTCCCAGTACTTCGGATCATGCTGTCAGATGCAACCAGAATAAGGGTGACCTGGAGCCCCGTTCCTGGAGCCAGTGGATTTCGGATTAGCTGGAGCACAGGCAGTGGTCAGTGTAGGGTGTGTGGGAGGATTGCTGAGGTGAATTGTGCAATGAAAATGGGGGAACTGAGGGGACAGGCAGGAGCCATGCCATCATTTCCGTCTGACCCTAGGTCCTGAGTCTAGCCAGACATTGCCTCCAGACTCTACTGCCACAGACATCCTGGGGCTGCAGCCTGGAACCTCCTACCAGGTGGCTGTGTCAGCACTTCGAGGGAGAGAAGAAGGCCCCCGTGGAGTCATCGCTGCTCACACTGGTCAGTGCGTGACCCTCTCTCTTGTTCTCTCAGACTCCATGTCCCTCCTTCAGGCCCTTCTCCCTTCACATCCCCACCACCTCCCCCTCAGGGTTGCTGCTTCCCTCTTCAGCCTCCTGTGCCTCCCCTTTAGCCTTCCCTTCTTCACGCTTCCTTGCCTTTCCTCTAAGATCAGATTTCCTCGACTCATCCCTCAGACCCCCTTTTTTCTGAACCAGATCTCCTCTTTGACTCGTACTTTCTCTTTGCCAGACCCTCACTACCTCCTCCTGCCTTCGTTAGACCACCCCCTTCCCTGTCAGACCTGTTACCTCAGATTCCTGTCGCTGGCCACACAGATTCCCACTATCCCTTCTGTCAGAACCCCCACTTCTTCCTGTCTCTCAGAACAGACACCCATAGGCTTCCCCAGTCAGATGACCCTGCCACCTTTCCTTCGGACCCTGCTCTGATCCCCTGTTAGACTCCTCATGGCCTCGTGGCCTCTCTCCTCAGACCCTCTGGGCCCTGTGAGAACAGTCCACGTGACACAGGCTGGGAGCTCTTCTGTCACCATTGCTTGGACCAGGGTTCCTGGCGCCACAGGATACAGAGTTTCCTGGCACTCGGAACATGGTGAGACCAGGGGTCTAGGAGGGTCCTGGGGGACAGGTCTGGTTGGAATGGGGGCTGGAGTTTCTTGGGGTCTGGGTAGGACATTGTGGGGCAGAGTCTGGCTAGACTTGGAGCTGTATCCATCCCTGCTCCCAGTTCCGGAGAAATCCCAGTTGGTTGCTGGGGAGGCCACAATGGCTGACCTAGAAAGGCTGGAGCCAGACACTGAATATACGGTACACGTGAGGGCCCATGCATCTGGTGTGGAGGGAACCCCTGCCTCTGTGGTTGTGAGGACTGGTGAGTGGACCCTGGCCAGCTGCTAGCCACAGCTCCTTGGCTGACCCCTGCCTGTCCCGCTGTGTATTCCTGACTGCTCCAGCTGCCCAGGTCTTTACTGCTCAGTGAGCGCCATGCCCTGTTGAACCATCCTGTTGGCTGAGTTTCCACCCAGGCGACCTCATGGATGCTCCACATTGCCCGCTCTGAAACACTGACCTCCCTCTTGCAAGCTGTCTGCACGAACCACACCTAACCTTCAGAAGTTCCCTGCACTAACCATGCCTGCATTGCCACCCTCTTCTCTCTGCCAGATACCCAGTTGCCCCCGGTCCCTCATCTCCCCTCTGTCCTTAGCCCCTGAGCCTGTGGGCAGTGTGTCAAAGCTGCAGATCCTCAATGCTTCCAGTGATGTTCTGCGGGTGACCTGGGTCGGGGTCCCTGGAGCTACAGCCTACAGACTGGCTTGGGGCCGGAGCGAAGGTCTGACTCCCTGACTGTACCCTTGCCCTTCCTGGCTGGGGGCTACAGCCATCCCACCCCTGAAAGCTGGTACTTTTGATTGCCTGGCCAGGTGGCCCCACCAGACAGCAGATACTCCCAGGAAATACTGACTCCGCAGAGATACGGGGTCTGGAAGGTGGAATCAGCTACTCAGTGGGAGTGACTGCTCTAGTTGGGGACCGAGAGGGCCCACCTGTCTCCATTGTCGTCACTACGCGTAGGCAGTGTGGGGCTTGGGTGGGTAGGGAGGGATTGGGCAGGATTTTGAGGGTGAGCCTGTGGGGCAGGGTCTGGGAAGAGAAAGAAGGACATCTGGGATGGGCAGAAGGCTGGCTGGGGAGATGCATGTGTGGGGTCATGTGAGGCCCAGATTCCCATGCTCTCTCCAGCACCCGAGGCTCCCAGCACCCTGGAGACTCTTCGTGTGGTGCAGCGTGGGGAGCATTCACTGAGGCTGCACTGGGAGCCGGTGTCTGGGGCACATGGTTTCCGGCTGCGCTGGCGATCTGAAAGTGAGCAGTGCCCAGTGGGAGGTTCAGGGTGGTGGGGCGGTGTAGGAGGTGGGCATGGTCACATCCTTGTCCTGGGAACTCAGTCAGTAGGTGAGAGCAGTTGGTTGTAAGATCACTGAGGCCATGGAGAATGAATGGGAAGGGCCAGTGAAGTGGGCAGTGCTTAGTCACCTAGAATGAGGGAGATGAGTCAGGAAGGGACCCAGATGGCAGTCAGCGAGGGCAGTGGGGATCAGTGAGGTATGCAACCCATCAGGACCTCAGCAGTGTCCTCCCACCTGCTTCTGGCCCTCACCCTCATCTTGCCCTAGGTGGTCAGGAACAGTCCCAGGTCCTGGGGCCTGAGTCCAGCAGCTACCACCTGGATGGACTGGAGCCGGGCACACGGTACCACATGTGGCTGAGTGCCTTGGGGCCAGCTGGGGAAGGGCCTCCCAAGGAGGTCACTGCATACACTGGTGAGTGCGGTTGTCCCACCTGCCTCAATATACTCCTCTCGCACTGATGACCCACCCTGATTTCCTGCACCCCAGACTCCTGTGATTCCTGACGCCCCATTCCGTGACTCTGAGGTGATCCCAGCGTGATCTCTGACGATGAACCTGCCCTAGTATCTCAACTCTCCCTCCTCTGGCTTCTCAGGACATGGCCTCTGACCCCTGATCTTGGATTCCTCCTGCAGAGTCTCCCCGTGTCCCAAGCACTGAACTACGCGTGGTAGATACCTCAGTCGACTCAGTTACTCTGGCCTGGACGCCAGTGTCTGGGGCATCCAACTACATCCTGTCCTGGCGGCCACTCAGAGGCACTAGCCAGGGTGAGGAGGAGCCAGGGTTGGGATGGGCTGGCACCTGGGACTCCATGAAGAGCCTCTTATTTAACCAAATCCTGTTCTCCACAGATGTGCCTGGGACCCCACAGACGCTTCCAGGGATCTTGAGCTCCCAGAGGGTGACAGGGCTGCAGCCTGGGGTCTCCTATGTCTTCTCCCTGACACCTGTCCAGGGGGGTGTACGGGGTCCTGATGTCTCTATCACACAGAACCCAGGTATGGAGGGTGCAGTGGGAGAAGCCTCGGCATTGGATAGATGGGCTGACCAAGAGGAACTTGGCTACTTTCTGCAGTGTGTCCTCATGGCTTGGCGGATGTGGTCTTCCTGCTGCATACCACTCAAGATAATGCTCACCGTGCGGAGGCTATGAGGCGGGTCCTGGAGCGCCTGGTGTCTGCACTTGGGCCTCTTGGGCCTCAGGCCACCCAGGTATGGGGCAGGTAAAGGGGCAGCCAGACCCTACCTCCCCTTCCCCTTCCTGCCCCAAGTCCTACATCAGCCCCCGTCTCTACCCCACCATAGCTCAGGCACTCTCCCAGCTCTCCTCCAAGCTGTAGATCATCTTGCTTCTCCTACCATCTTTGCTTACCCCTGTTAAACAGTCCCGGTTTAGTCACGCCTGCCCCCATTTCTCTGTTTCTCCAGCCCCTATGCACCCTGGTCCCTGCTGTCATGCCCCCAGTGCTCTGTGTCTCCCCACCCCAGGTTGGCCTGCTGTCATATAGTCACCGGCCCTCCCAACTCTTCCCACTGAATAGTTCCCATGACCTTGGCGTCATCTTGCAGAAGATCCGTGGCATCTCCTATGTGGACCCAAGTGGGAACAATCTGGGTGAGAACTGCAGTGGGTGTGGACTTGGGGGGCTTCCCCATGAGGGGCTTGGTATCTCAGGGATCTGACATGTCCTTCTTCTCAGGTGCGGCTGTGATTGTAGCTCACAGACAGCTCTTGGCACCGGATGCTCCTGGGCGCCGTCAGCAAGTGCCAGGGGTGATGGTTCTGTTGGTGGATGAGCCCCTGAGAGGTGACATATCCAGCCCTATCCGAGAGGCCCAGGCTGGTGGTGAGGAGTAGGGCCGATGGGGCTGGGGTCTGGGAGTAGGAGTGGACCAAGAGGGGTCGTCATGTAGGCTACTGACCCCTCCTCAGGACTCAAGGTGATAATGATGGGCTTGGCTGGAGCTGATCCGGAACAGCTTCGCCGCTTGGTGCCGGACACAGATCCTCTCCAGAATTTCTTTGCTGTTGACGATGGCCTGAGTCTGGACCATGCAGTCAGTGACCTGGCAATAGCTCTGTGTCAGACAGCCATGGCCACTCAGGTTTGGAAGCAGCCTCTGGGGGGCTAAGTAGGGTGGAAAAGAGGGAACCTGGGGTTCCTAATTACACTGCTGGCCTCAAAGAGACCTTGTGTCCACAGCCCCGGCTGGGACCCTGCTCAGTGCATTGTCCAAAGGTGAGTGTCTGGAGCAAAGGGTGCACGGGCAAGACCATCCTGGCTAGCCTCTCCACCCTCACTGGACCTGTCTTTCCTCAGGGCCAGAAGGGGGAGCCTGGAGTGACGGTGAGTGATCCTGTTGGGGAGCAGCGTGGGCTGGGATCCACAGGGCAAGGCGGTTGTTGACAGTGTGACACTCACAGATCTCCTTCCTAGGGCCTGGAAGGACAAGCTGGGCCCCCTGGTGCCCCTGGCCTCCCGGTGAGTGCCTCCCTGTGCCCAGCCCTGCCCTGACTGGCTTATTGCTTCCTTACCTGCTCTGCTCTCTCAGGGCAGGACTGGTGCTCCTGGCCCTCAGGGCCCCCCTGGAAGTACTGTTGCAAAGGGTGAGAGGGTAAGTGAAAAGACCCTTGTGCTTTGCCTAGTGTGATCCACGTGATGATCTCACAGGATTTAGGAAGAAGGAGGGAGCAGAGCCAGAGCCACAGGGTATTCCTGGAAGCCTGGCTAGAAATTCTAAGCCATCCCAGAGACCGGGGGTGGGGGGGTGGGGGGTCTGAAGTGGAGATGCCACAGGGGCTAGGAGATCCCTTAGAGAGCCTGGGTGGCAGCTCTAGGTCCCGGAGGCAGGAGGGCCTCTGTCTCAGCACTGCCATGTGCCTGGAATCGAGATCCATTCAACTTCTCTGACACTGCTCTACCTGACAATACTTGGGCATGTAAGGGGAGCTCCTGGTTGATGGGGTGGGCTATACCAGACAACCAGATCACTGGGGTAGGGTTCCTTTCTTGCTCTGACCTCTTTGCTTCCTTAGGGCTTCCCTGGAGTGGATGGACCTCCGGGCCTCCCTGGCCACCCCGGAACTCCTGGGACCCCTGGTCTGAAGGTGAGCAAGGCTTATCTTGTGAGTCATGGCACAACAATTGCTTGTGTGGGTGGGATGCTTCTGACTCTGTCCTCCATTTACAGGGCTCCCCAGGATTGCCCGGCCCTCGTGGGGAACCGGTAGGTACCTTCCCTTCTTCACCATCCTACTATTGTTATTTCCTACAGTACGGGGAGCCTGGGGCAGGAGGGTGTGGGACTGTGGGACTGTGGGAGCCTACTCTGAGACTCACCTGAGCCTCAGAGTGCCTCCCTCTGCTCTGCTTTGTTCCCAGGGAGAGCGAGGGCCTCGAGGCCCAAAGGGGGAGCCGGTAGGTAAAAGGGAAACAGGGGCCAGACCCTGGGCAGGGCCTAAGTTGTGGTGAGAACTGCTGGTGTGCTTTGGGCTCTCCCACCCTGAAACCTGTGATGGCGCCCTCTGCCCCTGCAGGGGGAGCCTGGGCATGTCACTGGAGATTGGCAACCAGGGCTTCCTGGGAGAAAAGGGGACCCTGGACCTTCAGTAAGTGCCTGGGTATATGGGGCAGGTGATGTCTGCCGGGAGACCAATGGAGGGGTGAGATCAAGGGAATTGCACCTTATACTTTGTCTCCTCCGTCAGGGTCCTCCTGGACCTCGTGGCCCTTTGGGGGAACCAGGACCCCGTGGTCTCCCAGGGCTTCCTGGCACAACTGTAAAGGTACAGCATAATCCCATATGCGTATCAACCTCCATATGACTCGGAGACCTGGTGACCCCATAGGGACCTGCACAACCCCTACTCTGATCTTTAGACCTGCACCCCTTTCCTGCCTCTTCAGTTCCCCTGTGGTTCTTACAATCCAATTTGACCCCATGAGCCTCATCTATCACTCATCTTGGGGGCAGGGGGTATGTACAGAATCATGGGATCTTGCTCTGTCTTCCAGGGTGACAAAGGCAATCGTGGGGAACGTGTAAGTGAGGGACAAAAAATGCAGGGGGTGGCTTGGAGTGATTTCCCTGGCCATGCCCTGACCTGCTGCTCTCTTCCAGGGTCCTCCTGGACCAGTTGTTGGTGGCACTGCTTCTGGGGAGCCTGGGCTGCCGGTGAGGAACTGAGGGAAACTGCTTGGGCAGCGGGTACGGTCAGGGGGCTCTATTACGGTGCTAGGCTTCACAGATCTTAGCTCTCACGTTCCCTCTCTTTCTTCTAGGGTCTTCCTGGAAACCCTGGACTCCAAGGCCCAGTTGGCCCCTCTGGAGAGAAAGGGGAAAAGGTAGGACACTCGTCTGTTGGTGTCCCAGTCTAGAGGGTGTTGGGGCGGGGCAGATATCGCCTGGATCTTCCCACCTTCTCCTTCAGGGTGACTGTGAAGATGGAGCCCCAGGCCTCCCAGGACGACCTGGCCCCCCGGGGGACCTGGTAAGTTAGAGGCCAGGGTTCTGAATGTGGTGGGCATAGTTCCAGCCCCTACCCTCAACCATCAGCCTCACCGTATCTATATGCCACTGAATTCTCAAATTCATCCCTTCCAGGGCCTTCGGGGACCTCCTGGAATCACTGGCTCCAAAGTGAGTGCCAGTTGGGGGATCAGATATGAGGGGTGATATTCTGGGACTTCGATGGTATTAGGGGAGGCTGGAAGATCAGGAGATAAAGGTTCTGCCCAAGTCAGAGGCTGTGGTTTCGGATGAGGGCAGCTGGAGTTTGAGACACCTTGTTTGAGGCTCACTGGTTAAGGCCTCTCTTCTATCCTCTCTCTCCTCAGGGTGATCGGGGACTGACTGGGTCCCCTGGTGAGATTGGAGCAAAAGTAAGTCGGGTTTGGGGGCTCTCAGGGACCAGGAGGATCTGGGCCACACTCCGTTCTAACCTCTTCTGTCCTGTCAGGGTGAACGGGGACTCCCTGGCCCAGTGGGACCCCAGGTAAGCCCGCTGACCTCCACACCAGTGCCAGCCGCCAGTGGGCTGTGTCCATGCCTGGCTCTAACTTTTTGCCTTTGATGCCTGCTGATCCTTCCCCTCTCCATTCTCATATGATCAATCCCCGCTGGTCAGGCTTTGGTCCTCAACCCAGGCACCAGCTTTCATCGTCTCACCCTGCTAAGCCGACGTGGTCTTTGCCCTGCTGCTGAGTCTGACTGGTGCCATTCTAAATCCCAGTCCTTACTGCCGCTGTCCAGCTGCCCCATCCCTCCATTGCTCATAGTCCCCCAGCCACCTGGAGTGGCGCTTGTTCTTCTCTTCCTTAGGGGCCGCCTGGGCTTGCTGGACATCCTGGAGCCAGGGGTCCTGAAGTGAGTCTGTGACTGGCAGGGCCAGAGTGGGGCTTTTGTATCCTCCCCACCTTGCTTCCTAGGCTCACGCTTTCTCCACATGCAGGGGCCACCAGGACCTGCTGGCCGCCGAGGAGAGAAGGTGGGGCATGGGTGGGGGAAGTACTTTTCATAGTAGGGATGTGGCAGGTGGGATGCTGGGAGCTGGGATTCCTACGTGGGTCTCTGACTTGTTCCTGCCCCTGTCCTATTTCCACAGGGAGAGCCTGGACGCCCTGGGGACCCTGTGGTGGTGGTGAGTGAGTGAAAGTTGGGTCCCTGAGCCCAGCAGAACCCTCTAAACCACTGCTCTCAGCGGTGACCCCACAGCACTGGGACTCTGGGCGGCCTCAGAGCTCTGTGACTTTCTTAGGCTATAACCTGCCCTAGACTCCTGGCTGTGATCTTCTGACCCCATGACTGCCACTAGTCACAGGCTTTGTGTTAGCCTATCTCCTGTAACCCTAACCCCAACTCAGTGGAGACTCTAGGACCTCTGAGCAGGGCTGAGCTCTGTGATTTCCTGCTTTATATAACCGCTATCCCAGTCAAGCCTTGGTCCTCTGACCCCAAGATGGGGCCGAGCTGGGTCTGTCCTGTTTGTTTGCAGACACCTGCTGGTGCTGGAGCCAAAGGAGAGAAGGTACGAGTGGTGAGAGGTTGTTATAGGGTGAGGTCAAAGCTTCAGGGCTGTTGCTGGGCCTACCTGAGTGTCACAGGGATAGCAGTCTGATTTTTGTCTTTGGCTGTACCTGGAGCTGGGTATCAGCACTGATGGTTTTTGTCACTTTCAGGGAGATGTGGGGCTCCCTGGGCCCAGAGGATCTGCTGGAGTCCAAGGGGAACCGGTGAGTTAAGGGAAGGTGTTTAGGGAACTGGGCCTGTGAATGCTTTGCCCCCAACTTCCGATCCTTCTACCCACAGGGCCTGCCTGGGTTGGCCAGTCCTGGAGATCCTGGCCCCAAGGGAGACCCTGGAGACCGGGTGAGTAAATGTGGGGCTGAGGGTCAAGACAGGAGGAAAGGTGGTGTCTGAGAGCTGTGACTAAGTCCCGTTCCCCTTCTTACCCTCTTAGGGTCCCATTGGCCTCACTGGTAGAGCAGGACCTCCAGTGAGTATCTGTGACCTTGGGTGACTTCAAGGTTCCGGGGGTCACCTCTTCTCAAAGGCTACATATGTTCTGTGTTATCTTATTCTTGTCTCCCTCATAGGGTGACTCAGGGTCCCCTGGAGAGAAAGGAGACCCAGGGCGGCCTGGCCCTCCTGGACCTGCTGGCCCCCGAGGACGAGATGTAAGATTTGGGGGAATCGTGGGAGACAGGGGAGTAGGGGGTGTTGCCAGCGTCACTGGGGGATCTCGTCTCATGTCTCGCAGGGTGAAGTTGGAGAGAAGGGTGACGAGGGTCTCCCGGTGAGACTTCTCCCCACTGTGGTTTCTGATCCTTTACCCCTGAACTGTGGTCCCTGTGGTCTGGGACTCCACCAGGTTATCCAGTCCGTCCTCTGCCTCTGTCCAGCTGGTGCCCAGGCCCTCAGCCCCCATTTCCTGAGAGGGTTAGACCTAACTCACCTGCACAAAGTGACTATTCTGTCTATCACCAGGGTGACCCAGGTTTGCCTGGGAAAGTGGGTGAGCGTGGCCCTCGGGTAAGTGTGAGCAGAAGGAAGGGCGGTGATGGGAAAACTGTAGGCACGGAAGTGTGACAGAAGTGAGGAGGGGTGAGGGGTGGGGGAAGACCCTGCAGGGAGGTGGGGGGTGATGGGAAACTTCGGCATAGATTTTGGGGCAAACGGGGGGCAGTCTGTGTGTTCATGAGGAAGCTGCAGAATGCTAGGAGGGTCTGTGTCAGACTAGCTGCTCTTCTCAGGGTGTACCTGGAGCTCGGGGGCCTGTGGGTGAGAAGGGAGACCCGGGAGACCCTGGAGAGGATGGACGAAATGTGAGTCCCGACTTTGAGCCCTTGCTCCTGAGCTCAGTCAACCTCAACTCCCCAAGCATCTAATTCCCACTCTGACCCTGCCCCCTAACCCTGTAGTGCTGCCCTTACCATCCTCCCTGTCAGAGACCCTTTCACCGCAACCCTCCAAGGCCACGAGGACCCCACAAGTCCCCATGTACTTCTAAAGAGCACCCAAACTGCTCCCTGCCTTGAGTGATCTCGACTCCTGGCTTTCTGCAGGGAAGCCCTGGACTGTTGGGACCTAAGGGTGACCGTGGGGAGCCGGTGAGTGGGGCTGGCCTGGGCTCGGGGGGTGATTTTCCTAGTGCTGCTGCCAGTGTTGGTTAGCACCTGCACAAGGGGCCATCCCAGGCATGGCCTACCTTCTGAGAGCTGGCATTGGGGTGCTGCATGGAATTTGGGGCCAGAGTTAAGCCTGAGGTTAACCTGACCATGCCCTGGGACCTTAGGGCTCCTGTTGACCACGATCATTTCCTTTCCTAGGGACCCCCAGGACCCCCTGGACGACTGGTAAGTGTCGAACTGTGATCTTCACCTGCCTCTGTTGATACCACACTGTGTCCCTTCACCCTTTCCACACCTGTGGCCCCCCACACCTCCAGTGATCCCTGTAGCTCCTCACTGACCGCAGCTCCCCTCACCAACCCATCCCCATCACTGAAGGTTTCTTCTTCCGGTCACTCTCCTACAGGTGGACACGGGACTTGGAGTCAGAGAGAAGGTACTGGGACCTGTAGGTGGAGTGAATTCCAAGCTAGGAAGGACCCAGTGTCCTTCACAATAGATCCTGCCTCAAGGACGCCTCCTGGCTTGAGGGTTGTTTTCCTAGCAAGCCCGTCTCTGCCACAGGGCGAGCGTGGACAGGAGGGTCCTCGAGGACCCAAGGGTGACCCTGGCCTGCCTGGAGCCTCTGGGGAGAGAGTAAGTTGGTTGGCCCTGTGGGGGAAGAGGGCCTGGGAAAACTTGCTCTGACTCTGCCTTCCTCTTCCTCAGGGCATTGATGGGCTTCGAGGACCCCCAGGCCCGCAGGTGAGTGCTGTCCTGTGCCCCATCAGCCTAAGTCGCCATCTTGCCCTCACCTCTTGTCTGACCTTCTTCCCTTCAGGGGGACCCAGGTATCCGAGGCCCAGCAGGAGAAAAGGTGAGATGCTGTAATTTTGGGTTGTGGGCTTGGCTCCTAAACCCAGCTCAGCCTTCAAGGCCTCTTACTGCTCTGTTTTCCTCAGGGTGACCGGGGCCCCCCTGGGCTGGATGGCCGGAGTGGGCTGGATGGCAAACCAGGAGCGCCTGGCCCCCCTGGGCAGCCTGTGAGTTGTAGTAGTTACTGCTTATCACTTCCTTCTTATAGCCCTCAGAGGGGGCCTTGAGATCTCAGCCTCATCTTGGTCTTGAGCTCTAGGGCCAGGTATGCTGTCTGTCTGCTCCCAGGGCCTGGGTGGGACATGCTGCTGCCATGTTGGTCTTGGGTCATAAGAACTAGTGCCCTCTCAGTGGTGGGGCCTCTGACCCCATGAAGCTGACTTTGAGTCTTTCCTCAGGGTGCTGTTGGCAAAGCTGGGGAGCCAGGGAGAGACGTAAGTGAGGGGAACACCGGGCAGAGGGTGGCTGGGGGGCCCTGTGCACTCCAGCCAGACCATCATGGTCATGGCACCTGTGAGAGCAGGGACATTTGTCCTGCTCTGACTTTGATGAGGGCCCTCAGACCCTGGCTGGCTGGTTTTTGTAGAACCCCCCTTTCTAAAGTTGTTTGCCTTAGGGATCATAGGAGGTCCCCCAAGTTCTAGAAGTTTTCCATTAGGAGTCTCAGGAGGGGCCCCCTAACCCATGGGGTCTGTGCCTCAGGGGATCCTAATGGAACCTCCCAATCCTGGGGGCCTCTACAATGGAGGAGGATCTTGGAGGGGTCCTCCCAGCCCATGAGGTGTGTCCCAAGAGATGTCTCTGGGGCCTTCTCAGTCTTAGCAAAGACTTTTTCCAGGGGCTTCCAGGCCTTCGCGGAGAGCACGGTCCCCCTGGCCCCCCTGGCCCCCCTGGTGCATTGGTGAGTCCAGGCTTCATGCTGCCTTCTGCCTGCTTCCTACCCTCCGCTGAGGAGTGACACCTGACTAATGTCCTGTTCCCACAGGGAAAGCCGGGTGAGGATGGCACACCTGGCCTGAATGGGAAAAATGTGAGTAAGTCCAGGGCAGCCACAGTGAGACCTGGTGAAGTATGCCACCCTGTACATGGCCTAGCACAGACGACACATGAAGCGCATGCAGTAACACCTGAAAGCGCAGCCCACACATACGAATACATCCCAAGCTTGCATGCGGCAGCCTTGCAGACACACATCGGATGTGACCTTGTGCCTAGATGGGCTGACCCATGCTAAGATAAATCATGACCGTGAGCTCAGGCGGGGAAGTACAGACATGCTGGCATGTGGCCACATTCAGTGACATCCGTGAACACACGTTGACACATAGACGCTTCCCTCAGATGTGTGTGAAGACACGAATCCAGGACTGCACGTGGACCTGTGTTGAGACATGAGACACATGTCCTCGGCAGTGCTGTGTGACACATTTAGGGACATGCTGGCACGTGCATTTTTATCAGCGGTTGTGCACTTATGTGTTGCCATACACACTGAAGCATTCAGGACCCGCAGACAGATGCCAAGGCACACGCTTCTCAAGGCACCGGAGACCTGGGTGTACGTGAATAAGTCCTTGCCCATAGATAGTCATGGGTCAAGATATGCAGACAGATATGCAGAGCCACCTTCCACAACACACAGGCCAAGGGCACACTTGCTAAGACACATGGGTACGCACACCTCCAGACACATGGGCACTCACCCATCCAGAGATGCATGGACGTGGAATTAATCTAGAAGCCAGAGACAAGAAGACACATGCAGGGGCGTGCAGAGGTGAGCGGGCCCATCTAGGCATGCCCCCAGACAGGTGGCAGCTTACTCATTTGGACACACGCCACACTCTAAGATATGCAGAGCTGTGGCATCGGGCATAGACATTCGGTCATAGTCGTCTGAAATTTGCTGAGACAGTTTCTTGAAGGCAGGCACTGGTGACTGCGTAGGCTAATATGAGTCTTCTCTCCCCAGGGACAACCTGGTGACCCTGGAGAAGCTGGAAGAAAGGTAAAGCCCCTCCCCTGGGCCTACTCTGGCCTGGATTGGGCCATGTCTGAAAAACTCTTCTTTTCCTTAGGGGGAGAAGGGAGAGTCAGGTGCCCCAGGGAGAGAAGTGAGTGTTGAATCTTCCTTATCCTCTGACCCCTGACCGCAACTTTTTGTGCCACTCTTTTCTGGGGTGTAAGGGCTGATACTGGCTGTGTCCTCTACAGGGTCACGATGGCCCCAAGGGTGAGCGTGGAGCTCCTGGGAGCCCTGGACCCCAGGGCCCTCCAGGTCTTCCAGGGCAGGTTGGCCCTCCTGGCCAGGTAAGTGACCAGGGCAGTTTGGGACTTGTCTGAGATGTTTCCTGAGTCCCCTCCTGGAATGCCATGATCCTATGTGACTCCTCTGTGTTCTCTCATGTCTCAGGGTTTTCCTGGTGTCCCTGGAAGCATGGGTCCCAAGGTTAGTATGTGTGCTGGGTAGGGGATACAGCATGGGGCTGGCCAGGGTTGGGAGACATTTTCTCCACCTAATCATTCTTTGTTGTCAGGGTGACCGTGGGGAGACTGGATCCAAAGGGCAGCAGGTGAGACCCCCCTTTTTTACCTGTCCAGGTAGCCACAGCACCCACATAGACATATACACCCCTGAAGCTGGGTCCTAGCACCCTGTCTCTTGATCTCTGTAGGGCCTCCCTGGAGAGCGTGGTGCCAGAGGAGAACCTGGGAGTGTGGTGGTGAGCTGGCCTCAGGATTTGGCCCTTTCATTTATTTGCATGCCCATGGGGACTGCCTCTCCACCCTCTTCCCACGAGGCCCCTCAGGACTGCTGTGCTCAGTCCCTGCCTCACAGGGGTGCCTGTAGCCTACTCTCAAGGGAACTGGGACAGTGGGACATGCCAGGGAGGGACTCCCGGATGGCCTCCAACCCATCCTCAACAGAGGGCTAAAGAGGCGTGGGCAAAAGGGCATGGAGGCTCTTTCTGGGGGTACATGGGCCAGAAGGCAGGGGCTTCTCAGTGGGTAGCCTCTGACTAGTCTTTCGTCCCCAGAATGTGGAGAAGGTGCTGGAAACTGCTGGCATTAAGGTAGGTCATTTAGGGCTGCGTGGGAACAGGTAGGGGCACCATGAAGGCATGTAGTGCCCACAGGCCCAGAGAGTGGGTGTGGCCGTTGTGGTCCCTGCCCTCTGACTCCTTGCTATACCTTAGGCATCTGTCCTGCGGGAGATTGTGGAGACCTGGGATGAGAGTTCTGGCAGCCTGCTACCTGTGCCAGACCGGCGTCGAGTCTCCAAGGGGGACCCAGGCGAGCGGGGTCCCCCAGGCAAAGAGGTGTGAAGTGGCTGTGAGGTAGGCATGGCCCGTGGAGGGCACAGGAACTCAGCCACCGGCGTTCACTCTTCTGCTTCCCTAGGGTCCCATCGGCTTTCCTGGAGAACGTGGGCTGAAGGGAGACCGTGGAGACCCTGGACCCCAGGGGCCTCCTGGCCTGGCCCTTGGGGAGAGGGGCCCTCCTGGACCTCCTGGCCTTGCTGGGGAGCCTGGGAAGCCTGGCATTCCGGGACTCCCAGGCCAGGCTGGGGCTGTGGGAGAGGCAGGGAGGCCAGGCGAGAGGGTGAGCCTGGAGCTGGATGGGTGGGCCTGGGAGGTGGGGTCAGGGCTTGGGCTGCCCTGTGAATTTGGGTCCCCCCTGCTGTTTGCATTTCAGGGAGAGCGTGGTGAGAAAGGAGAACGTGGAGAACAGGTGAGCCGAGTGGACTGTACAAGACGGGGCTGCTTGGAGGCTGTGCTGGTGCAGCCATACCCTTTTCTTTTTTCTGCAGGGCAGAGATGGCCATCCTGGCCTCCCTGGGCCTCCCGGCCCTCCTGGCCCCAAGGTGATCACCCCAGCCCTACTGAGGCCTACTGTGTCTGATGACTCAATGGGGGGGCTGTGTTGTCTCTGACCCACAGCCTTCTGGGATCCTGTGAGCTAGGATGACCCCTGGTGTCTCCATAACAGACTCACCTCTCCCCCGCGGCCTTGTGCTTGTAGGTGGCCATCGACGAGCCAGGTCCTGGACTAGCTAGAGAACAAGGACCCCCTGGATTCAAGGGTGCTAAGGTCAGTGTAGATTAGCCTAAGGGCTCCCCCTGCTGTGAGGCCCGGGCCTAACTGGACATCTTGTCCCTACAGGGAGAGCCAGGCAGAGATGGTGATCAAGGTCTGAAAGGAGACAGGGTGAGGCCTCCTACCCCACCATGATCCCCCTCCTGTATGGAACACAGCAGGGGTGGTGTATGTATGTTCGTGGGCATAGGGCAGGGATTGGAGACTCAGAATGACTGCTTGCAGGGTGTGCCAGGCATCAAGGGAGACAGGGGAGAGCCTGGACAGAGGGGTCTTGATGGCAGCCCGGTAAGTCCTTGTCCCAAAGGCCTCATATGTGCAGGAATGTGGCTCTCACACGTTTGTCTTATGTGTGGGGCTGGAGTCAGCAATGCCCTGGACTGTCTAGGTCTTGTGTCCAGCTACCTGTGAGGTTGGTGTGTGTGGGAGAAGGTAGCATCAGGATACAAGGGTAGTGTGGCCTTAAACTTGCTCTTTCTAGGGTCTGCTGGGAGAACGTGGTGTGGCTGGGCCTGAAGGGAAGCCGGTGAGTGGCAGCAAGAATAGCCAGCCCAGCTCTGGGTCCTCTGCTGCATGGTGTGTGTGTGTGTGCGTGCGTGTGCACATGTGTGTGTTCCTAGGATGTAGGGGCTGTGCTTTTGAACACAGGTGTGGGCACAGGTGCGTGATGCCTGGAAAGGCTCACTGTTTGTTGAGTCCGTGTGAACATGTGTGCCTGGGCCAATGTGTGCTAGCCCTGAGGGGCAGCCCTTGGTATATAACGATCCGGACCTGGGGATGGGGTGTGGATGTGGGCTCCAGAAGGTGGGAACATCTTGAATGAGGCCCAGACTGAGACTCATCAGCTCCTTCCCTGTGCAGGGTTTGCAGGGTCCCAGGGGAGCCCCTGGCCCAGTGGTGAGTACCTCACTTCCTCTCCCACCCTGGGCCCATCCCCTGTGAGCAAGACTGCCTCACTTCCTGGTGGGATGGGGCTGGCACCCTTCATCAGACTTTCCCTAACAGGGTGGCCACGGAGACCCTGGACCACCTGGTGCCCCAGTAAGTGACAGGGGAGCACTGCCTGGTGGTAGCATGGGGGGATGGGACAGGCATCAGTCACTGCTGATGAGCTGGGCCATTTTTCTGTGAATCTCTGAGTCCATGCAGACTATGCTGACCCCTTCCCTCCTTGACACTCTTCTCTAGGGTCTCAACGGCCTTGTGGGACCCCAGGGACCTTCTGGCCTGAAGGTGAGTTAGGCCTGTGGGGTATGTGGATAGAGGAAGGGGTGAGCCCTGTTTATACCCAGAGCAATGTCTACCAACCTCCTGGGAGGTCATTGCCTGCAAGGGGGCTAAGCACCAGGAGCCCCTCTATGTGGGCTCGGCTCCTGAGGTTTCTTTTGCAGGGGGAACCTGGAGAGACTGGACCCCCGGGACGGGTGAGTGGCTCAGTTCACAGTAGAGGGTCAAAGGCAGATGGTGGGGTTGGCACTGCCCTGAACATGCTCTTTCTCCAGGGTCTGCCAGGACCTGCGGGACCCGTGGGACTTCCTGGCCCCCCTGGCCCTTCGGGCCTTGTGGTAAGTGACTGTGGCTGCTGCAGAGGCACTGCGACTACCCCAGGTTTCCATGTTCTCCCGTGTTCTGTCTCCTTTCCCTGTGTCACTCTCATGTTTGTTCTCCCTCAGGGTCCACAGGGGGCGCCAGGGTTGCCTGGACAAGTGGTGAGTCCTGGAGGTCAGTGGCTGGGCTCCAGAGGCCAAGGGTCAGGTAGCAAGTCCTGACTGAGCTCTTCCCTTTCAGGGGGAAACTGGGAAGCCAGGAGCCCCGGGTCGTGATGGTACCAGTGGGAAGGATGGAGACAGAGGAAGCCCTGGTGTGCCAGTACGTGTTGTCGGGGGAGCCCAGGCGGGCCTTCTGTGGTGTCCTGTGCCCGGTGTATGCCTGGATATGAGGAGTGGGGCTGCAGGGACAGGATGGGATGGAGGCTCTGACCTTCTCACGCTGTTCTGCTGCAGGGGCCACCGGGTCTGCCGGGCCTTGTCGGACCTAAAGGAGAAGCTGGACCCATGGGACCTCCTGGACAGGTGACCTTTGATGCGGACCTCCCCACCTGCTCCACCAGCTCCTCTGCTTTACCCCAAACCTCAGTTTCCAGATCTCACTGGGGTTGGCAGGGTGGGAGCAGGGAGGAGTGGCCAGGCCCTCACTCGGCATTCCCTACAGGTCGTGGTCGGGCCTCCTGGAGCAAAGGGAGAGAAGGTAAGCAGGTGGGAGCCCGGGAGGGGGGTTGAGGGTGGAGGAATCCCAACAACCCCTCTCCTTCATCAGGGAGCCCCGGGAGACCTTGCTGGAGACCTGGTGGGTGAGCCGGTGAGTGTGGCACCTCCAGCAGCAGGGGACCTTTGGCTCATGGTTTACTGACCTTCGTGACCCCCAACATCCTTAATATGTCCCACATTTGACCCCTGGCCTCATGCCACCCTTCTGGAGTCTCATCTGTCTGTGTGATAACTATGTTGCCTCCTGACCCTTGTGGCTACAGGGTCCCAAAGGTGACCGAGGACTACCAGGGCCACGGGGCGAGAAGGTGAGTGGGCCTGGCCTCCCGGCCCGAGTGTTGGGCAGAGAGGGGTAAGGCCAGAGCTCTTTATATCCTTTCTGTGCAGGGTGAAGCTGGCCGTGCAGGGGAGTCTGGAGACCCTGGGGAAGATGTGAGTCTGGGGTCTTTGCAGGTCCACACTTTGCTTTGAAGAATGTGACTATGGAGGTTGTTCTTGGGGTGCTTTGGACCATATGGGGGTCACATTCTTTTGACTTCCACCCTCTGAGTGCCTGGGATCCCAGCGTGGCTTTTGTGTGCCTATCTTCCTGTTCTTCTGTGCATCTGAGCCCAAACATGTGTGTTTCTATCTGCTCTCCCAGGTCTCTCCTTGGTCATGTGTTTGTAATTTTCCTGGCTCGGGCTTCCATCTGTCTAAATTCATATCTGTGGTCACATCTGAGCTCTCTGGGTGTGGACATGGCAGAGTTCCCATCTGAGCCTGTCTGTGCTCCTGCATGAGTTCCATGTGCCCATCATCATGCCTGGCTGCCCTTGGATCTGTGATCACCGCTGAGCTGCCCTCAGCCTATGCCCTCACAAGCCCAGGAGTTCTGGGTTCCTATGAGGGTGTCGTTGGTCACATGTCTGAGTTTCTATGGGTTCATCATGACATTTGAGCTCCCCTGGGAATATTTTTTTTTGGCCAAGTCTAAGCTTACTGTTCATATTCTTACCTTCTCAAATGCTATGTATTTATTTTTTAAGGGTCAAAAAGGAGCTCCTGGACTCAAAGGTCACAAGGTACATTTACCTGAAAGGGTCTCTGCTGGGGCTCATGGTCCAGAGACTCTTTGAACCTAATATAACTCCTCTTTTCCTCCAAGGGTGACCCAGGAGTTGGGGTCCAAGGCCCCACTGGGCCAACTGGTCCTCCAGGCATGAAGGTAAGTCAACACCCCATCACCAGCCCTGGGGCAGCAGTGGGGTGGTTTTGGAAGTGGGAGAAGAGGGAATTCTGGGACTAATCTTGGGAAGGGATCCCACAATGACCTCTCCTTCCTTTGTCATTTCTATTTCAGGGAGACACGGGTCCCCCTGGATCCCCTGGTGCTCCTGGAATTATTGGGTTCCCTGGTCAGACAGGCCCTCGAGGAGAGACGGGCCAGCCAGGCCCTGGTGGAGAGCGGGTGAGGGGGTAGAAACAGCATGTGGGAACTTCGTAACTTCAAGATCTCTGAATCTGGTAGTGGGTGAGGAGGAGGGGACCTTGGGGGCTCCTAGTCTTGGGGAAAAGAGGAGGAGGAAGGTTCTAAGTCACTCTTTGCCTCTCTTGACCCATTTTCCTGTAGGGTTTGGCAGGGCTTCCAGGGAGAGAAGGTGCCCCAGGCCCCTTGGGGCCACCTGGACCACCAGGGTCGCCGGTGAGTAGAAGTGCCCCCATTCTCCAGTCTCTCCACGGAAGGATGTGTGACGGGGACTAGGCCCCACTGCTACACTGCGTGTGTGGGGCTTCAAGGACCATAGGACTCTCCCCTCATTCTGACCCACAGGGAGCACCTGGAGCCTCTGGACTCAAAGGAGACAAGGTTGGTGCAGTGCTGCTGGCTTTCATTGTGCCCTGTCACCCCTCCTCCCCTGACCTCCCATGACCTTCTTTTTCCCTCTGATTCCCCTCGCCGATCCCTGATGTCCTGCCGATCTCCAGGGAGACCCTGGAGTAGGACTGCCTGGGCCCCGAGGAGAGCGTGGGGAGCCAGGTGTCCGGGTACGTACAGCTTCTCCCATGCCAGAGAGCCATGGCCCTGATCCTTTTAGCACAGGTCTTGCCTCAGATTTCTAACCTCTGAGTCAATGGACCTAATGTAACCATTCAGGGTGAAGACGGCCACCCTGGCCAGGAGGGACCCCGAGGACTCATGGTAGGTCCCTTTGGGGAAAGTGCCGGTGATGGTCCTGCCTGTGTCCCCTGTGCCCTTAGGACACTGCATTCTGCCACCGCCCCTTGGTGCTTTCCATTTCCCTTAGTCCCCCTCTGTCTGGCTCTGTCTCCCCGCACCTGAGCTGCTCCTAGTGCCCCCAAATTCCTGTAGCTCAGTCATTTTCTCTCACACAGGGGCCCCCAGGCAGCCGGGGTGACCAAGGGCAGAAGGTAAGAATGTAGGGGGCAAAAGTGAGTGGGGGTGGAGATGAGTCTTCAGGACTGGGGACTCTCTAGCTGGGGTGGGACTCAACACTCTTCCACCCCATAGGGTGATGCTGGAACCACAGGCCTAAAAGGTGACAAGGTGAGTGTGGGAATGGAGCAGGGAAGGAGCATGGGACTGGGTTGCTTCTGACTTCTCTGACTGCTCCCTGCCTCCTCAGGGTGACTCGGCTGTGATTGAGGGGCCTCCAGGACCACGGGGTGCCAAGGGGGACATGGTGAGGGTCTGGCTCATGGGCAGACTGGGACCCTGTGTGTGGGAGGGGCCCCAGGGGGACTCAGCTAGGGGCTCTGAGAGCTCAGGTCTCTCATCTCCCCGGAAGGTGAGGGGCTGCCAGCTCTTGGCTCTGACTTCTACCTCCTGCTCCAGGGTGAACGTGGGCCTCGGGGCCTAGATGGTGACCCAGGACCTTGGGGAGACAGTGGGAACCCTGGTGACAAGGTACAGGGACTGGGGTCGGTCCTCTACATAGGGTCCTGCAGGCTCTAGGGATTCCACAGTGAGTCTGTGTGGGCAGGAGGGGCAGGCAGGAGGGACTGTCTTAGGGCTTCTGCAGGCTGAGAGTGTGGGGGCTTGAGTGAGGCCTTCCAGTGAGGGGAGGAAGGGCACTCTGTGGACTATGGCTCCTTGGCTGTTGGGAGTTCCCAGATGGGGTTAGAGGCCCCAGTGTTGTGGAAGGGCCCATAACAGGGGGGGTCCCAGGGAGGGGAAAGAGCTGTCTGGGCATCCCAGCACCAGCTCTGTCTTGCCAGAGTAAGGGTGGAGGGAGGAGCCACTGGGGATTGCCAGTGGGAACAACCTTGTGGAGCTCTTCCCTGTTAGTGAGTACTAGTCACCCTCAGAGCCTCTGGCCTGGTCCTGACTCTGGCCCCCTCTTCTGGTTGCTCCCACAGGGTGTCAAGGGAGAACCTGGTGAGAAGGGCATGGCTGGGTCAGTGGGAGCTCGTGGACTCGCAGGACCCAAGGCAAGCCCTGCCCCAGAACCGGCCATGCGTCACACACACCTGGCCCTGGCTGTCCCCGAGTATGGGAGGGTTCCTGGTCCTTTTGATGTTGGCATAAGGATGCTTGCATAGGACCTGTGTGCAAACTGTACCCTGGCCTGGAGTCACCAAGCAGCTGCCTGTGCACTAGGCCAGCCTGGGGCCCAATCACACTGAAGGGCTCAACCCAGTCTGTGTCCCCCACAGGGTGAGCCTGGTGCTCCAGGGATGGCTGGTGACTCGGTAAGATGCTCCCCTCCCTCCCACAGGAACCCCTCCCCCAACAAAAAACCCATCCCCATCGTGGTCCTACTCATGTGGCCTTTGCTTTTATTAGAGACCCAGTATCTCATGGTGTTCTCCTATTGCCCAGGGCCCTCCATCTCCACAGTGACCCCCCAATGGTTATGACCATGCCCATGGTGACCCTAGTCCCATGAACCCTGCCCTTCTTGTGTCACCCCACGGTGTTCCCTGCCTGCAGTCCAGGATTCCCTTTGACACCTCATTGACCTCCCTTGACCTCATATTGACCCCCCCAGGGACCCCCAGGAAAGGATGGAGCCCCTGGTTTCCAAGGAGACAAAGGAGATGTTGGCTTCATGGGTCCCCGAGGCATCAAGGTGGGAAGTCAGAACTGTTCTATATTTTATTTCTGGTCAGAAAGAGTTCAGGATGGGGCCAGATGTTGGAGTGCCCAGGTGGGATTGTGAGCGTTAGGTCAGAGGTTGGAGTATCTGAAATCAATCGAGAGAGTTGGGTCTAGGATCAAGGACTTACAGGGTGAAGTGTCTGGAAGTTGCTTTGTTGCCTGCTTTTCTCTCTCAGGGTGAACGAGGGATGAAGGGAGCCTGCGGCCTTGATGGAGAGAAGGGAGACAAGGTACAGAGGTAACAGGAACGTGAGGGGAACATGAGGGCTGGGACCCAAGGCCGAGCCCTCTTCCTAATTCCTGTAGGGAGAAGCTGGTCTCCCAGGCCGACCTGGGCTGGCAGGACGAAAAGGAGAGATTGTGAGTGTGGGGCACCCCCAGAAAGAGGGTAGGATGGGTGAGCCAGGGCAAACCTCATGCTTTTGTTCTTTTTCAGGGGGAACCTGGTATACCAGGTCAGTCTGGAGTTCCTGGCAAAGAGGGACTGATTGGTCCCAAGGTACAGTCCACAGGGGGCATAATGGGGATGAGGGTGGGGCAGGAGAGGTCACTATAAGGTCATGAAGGTTGGACGTGGTCGTACACACCTGTAATACCAGCACTCGGGTGGCTGAGGCAGGAGGATCACCATGAATTCGAGGCCAGCCTAGGCTGTATAGTGAGTTCGGGGCCAGCCTGAACTATAGAGTGACCCTGTCTCAAAAAACCAAAACAAACAAACAAACAAAACACACAAAAACAAACGTATAAACGGGGCCGGGATTTAGCTCAGTGGGGCTGTGCCTGCCTTGCAAGCACAAGGTCCTGAGTTTGATTCCCAATACCACCCCCCCAAAAAAAACCCAAAACAAACCCATAAGGTCATGAAGGCTTAGAGTCAAAGGAGCTTGTGGAGGGTTGGCGATTGGGGGATGATGTGGGGTGGTCTTTAGATTTCAGAGTGGGCTGGGGTCACAGCAGAGGGATTGAAAGAGTGGAATGAGGTGTTACATGCATCAGGGCAGGGGACTGCAGTGGAGTTTATATCACGGGGACACAGCTGTTAGGGTCACAGGTGCTGACATTATGGAAAATTAGGGGCATTGGGTTAAGGTGTCCATGGGAGGTTAGGGAGGTCAAGGCAGGGCGTCTCTCATGCTTATTCTGTACCCAGGGTGACCGAGGCTTTGATGGGCAATCAGGACCCAAGGGTGACCAGGGTGAGAAAGGGGAGCGGGTAAGTCGAGATCAAGGCTATGGTGAGTTAGGGGAGCATGTTCTGTGGGAGTGGGTCATCTTTGGGGGTTCTGCTTACTGACTGTCCTGTCTATCCCCAGGGACCCCCAGGAACTGGGGGCTTCCCAGGTCCCAGGGGCAATGATGGCTCTAGTGGTCCCCCTGGGCCACCTGGCAGTGTCGGTCCTAAAGGCCCTGAAGGACTTCAAGGCCAGAAGGTAAGGGTCCGAACTCCGACCCCTGACCTTGAGCTTCCCTACTTTTTTGTTGTTGTTATTTTGCAGTGCTGGAAGTGGAAGCAAGCATTCTACCTAGGCCTCCCTATCCTTCCTATCTCCCCAATTTCTGACCCTGTCACCGATCTTCCAATCTCCTTGCCCCAGCCTCTGCAGCTGTGATCCCCAATTTGCTTATCTTCTGATCTCCACTGCCTGACCCTGCTTACTCAGTCCTTATACCTGACAGGGTGAGCGAGGTCCCCCTGGAGAGCGTGTGGTGGGGGCCCCTGGGCCTCCTGGAACCCCGGGTGAGAGAGGGGAACAGGTGAGTGGGGACTCCTGGACTTGGGCTCAGAGACTGGGGTGACTCTGGTGTTCTTGAGCACTGAGGTCACAGCCTGGTCCCATCTGTTGCACACAGGGGCGGCCGGGTCCTACTGGTCCCCGTGGTGAAAAGGGAGAAGCTGCAATGACGGTGCGTGCAGTCCTGGAGGCTAAGGCCACCTCCCGCCCCCACTCCCCGTGTCCTGCGCCCTACTCAGTTGGACTTGCCTTGATCCCTGCATTATGGGCCCTGTCACTCCTGTGATTCATGGGTTTTCCTGGTCACTGAGGTCTTGTGTTCCTAGGAGGATGACATTCGGGGCTTTGTGCGTCAAGAGATGAGTCAACATTGCGGTGAGTGGGCCTAGCCCAGAGGCCCCAGGACCCCATCCGACTCCATCTTAGCCACTAGGAAGGAGCCAGCTGATCCCAGAGCTTAGGGGGGACCAGGGTCATGGAAATGGGTGGATACACAGGACAGACACGTTGCTAGAACCTTTCTCAATGAGGGACACATAGGCAGATGTGGGTGGCCAGAGTGTGCCAGCATGGCTGTGTGTGGGAGGTGAAAGGGGGAGCAGAGCTGGGCGACTCTCCCTGACATGGGAGAGGAGCCGTGATGACCCTGGTGGCATCAGAGTGAAGCTCTGTCTCTTCCCATCTCTTGTTTGAAATTTGTTCACTGTCTGTACACGTCTATTTTTCTCCATCTCCATTACTTGCCCTTTGCTGGCCTATCCCCAACTCTCATTCCTGTGTGCTCTACTTTTCTTCCTCTCTTTCTTCTTCTCTGCCCCTCCACTTCCCGCTCTCTTGTCCCTCCTTTTGTCTGTCACTGTTTCTCCTGCTGTCCCTCTGTACCTCTCAACTTGCTGTGTGCTGTGTGTGTCTCCGCCTCTCTGTCTCTTACTCTCTCCTCCATTGGCCTCTGCTCTTCTCTGCCCTCTCCAGCCTGCCAGGGCCAGTTTATTGCGTCAGGATCACGTGAGTAGTTTTCTGTACCCAGAACTTCCCTCCCCCAGGGCCACGGCCTGGGTTCTCTCAGCAGGGGTGTGGCTGGGTGGCTGTCCTGGAGGGCCCCAGCATATCACCTGGGGTTGTTACCTGCTCTTTGCTCCAGGACCCCTCCCCAGTTATGCTGCGGACACAGCTGGCCTCCAGAGCCGCCGGCTGGTGCCTGTGCTCCGGGTCTCCCACGTAGAGGAGGAGGGTGAGAACATCCGGACCCTGGGGCCTGTATGCGTGGGGCATGCACATGCACATGCATGCCCGTGCATGCTGGGCCCGTGCCATGTACATGAGTCCCACATACAGGGTGCACAGGATGGGGGATCAGCATTGCCCACCTGTCGCAGGGCCTGCAGCTGCCCTCTCATAGCACACCCATCCTGCCCACAGACCAAGTGCCCCCTGAGGACGATGAGTTCTCTGAATACTCCGAGTATTCTGTGGAGGAATACCAGGACCCTGAGGTTCCTTGGGACAGTGAAGGTGAGAGCGAGGGCTGGCCCAGAGGCGCTTACCTGGGATCAGGCAAAGCCAATCCCTGACCGATTGACCCCCCAATCCCACTCCACCTCCCACCTCCCTGCTGACCTGACCCCCTTGGCCCCAGACCCCTGCTCCCTGCCGCTGGACGAGGGCTCTTGCACTGCCTACACCCTACGCTGGTACCATCGGGCTGTGCCCGGAGGCTCAGAGACCTGTCATCCTTTCGTCTATGGTGGCTGTGGAGGGAATGCCAACCGCTTCGGGACCCGTGAGGCCTGTGAGCATCGCTGCCCACCACGAGTGGTCCAAAGCTCAAGAACAGGTAGGGGCCTACACCCACCTCCGCGGAGCCCTGGTTACCCAGATCCATGGTTGAAGAGGCCTGGGACAGATCCCCAGATCAAAGAACCACACACAGATACATCTGTGAAGCCCTCCACAGTCTTTCTCCATGTTAGCCTCCTTTGGGTTCCCTCTGAGTCAGAGGCCGCTCCCTGCCAGGCCTCAGCTCCCTCCCCCGGGTGCTCTCCTGCCTCTCTCCTTGGCTGACAGGGATGAAAGTTCAGAGGACTGAAGGTGGTTTCTGACCTTCCTGCCCAGGTGCTGCCCGGAGCTAAGGCCTGTGTGAGGAGCTGATGTTCAGCATCCTCCGGGAGATGGGGTCACAGCAGGGCCCTGTGGTCCCTCCCCTTGGTGCTAAGAAGCTGGTGTGCACGTGAGCGTGGTGTACATGTCCGTTATTTCAGTGACTGAGTTCCGTGGGTCTAGCCTTCCCCCTGCAGACAAACCCCCATTGTGCAGATGACTCATGGCGGGGGTGGCTGTGGGCAGTGAGCAGATGTGACTAGGTCTGACGGTCCCTTGACCCAAACCTGTGATACCATGGTGCTGATTTTGGGGAACATTAAAGCTGCTGTTTTAAAAGGCCCTCGTTGTGATTTTTTTGTATGTATGTGTCTCTTTGTGCTGGGGGACAGATTTTTCCCTGGTGGTGGGTACTATTCTGCATGGGTAGAATCCTGCTGCCAAGTCCTAGTCATGGTTCTGTGACCCTCAGTGCCCAGCTTGTCCCCCAAAAGAAGAGAGGGTGGGAGGAGAGACGTCCTCACTGCTCCCTGGACGGGTTGAGTCACGGGTGGGGGCTGCCTCACGCCTCATGTGCCCCAGCTCCCACCTCAGGGACTGGGGGAGATAAATGGGCCCTGGAGTGGAGCAGAGGGTTGGACCACAGGACAGCATCACAGGGCAGCAGCCGCAGTGGCTTCAACTTAACCCAGAGGAAGATAGTGGTAGGACCGGTGTCTGCTTGTGACAGGAGCGTCCTAGGGCACTGAGCGAACCTGGGAGGCTCTGGGATCTTTGGTTTCTTCTCTGCCTTGAGGACCCCTTCTGCCTCTTGTTTTAGCTGTGAGCTCTCTAACTGGGTTCTGTCTCCCTTTTTATCATGCTGTCTCTGAAATTTTATTTCCATAATGCTCTCTGTCTCTGGGATGCTTTCTGTCTCTCACTTTCTTCCAGGCTGCTTTGTCCTTTGCTCTGTCTTATCCATCGTGTTCATCCCCTCTTCTTTTCCCTCTTGTTCTGTTTCTGCTCTTTTTCTCCATCTCTTCTTCTCTCTCCATCTCTTCCTGTCTCTCTCTCCCTCTCTCTCCCTCCGTCTGTTTGTTTTGTTTTGTTGAGACAGGGTCTCACTTTGTAGCCCAGGCTGGCCTTGGACTCGTGATGATTCCTCTGCCTCAGCCTCCCAAGTGCTAGGATTACAGGTGTGCACCACCACACCTGGCTTTCTCTCTGTTTCTTCCTCTCTCTATCTCCCTTTCTCTGCAGCTCTTTCTCTCTCCCTCCATCTCCTCTTCTATCTCTTCCTCTTTTCATCTCTACTTCTCTCCATCTCTTCCTCCCTCCCTTCATCTCTTTCCATCTCTTCCTGTCTCCCTCCATTTCTCTCTCTCTCCATCTCTTCCTCTCTCTCCCTCCAACTCTTCCTCTCTCTGTCTTTCTATGCATCTTTTCCTCTCTTTCCCTCCATCTCTTCCTGTCTCTTTCCACCTCCTATCTTCTGCTCTTCTCTCTGATCTTGCCAGTTGGTTGTGTATAAATCATAGTTAACCAGAGCCTTTGCCCTGTGTGTATTTTCTCCTTGTAGCCTGATGCCATGATGACCAGGTTGGCTCTGTGGGTGCTGATGGTCCTGATGTCAGACAGGGTCCTGGTTGTCCCAGTGACCCCTGTCCCAGCCTTCCAGATCCCCCCTCAGAACTGTTCACAGACCATTTCTCGTCCCGTGGCCTCAGCAAGTCCCTCAGCTACCACCATAGGCCTGTCCTCTGCCTGGGGACACCCCAGCCCTGGCCCCCGCCTTGGCCCACGCATGACCCTCTCACTGGATGTCCCCATCGGCCTCCTGCGGATTTTACTGGACCAGGCCCAGACCAGAGCTGCCAGGGAACAGGCTGCTGCCAACGCCCACATCCTGGCCCACGTTGGCTGATGCTGAGGAAGAGGGGAAAACCTAGAGGTTGGCGGCAGCCAGACAGTGTCACATCTGGGAAGAGTGTGCCTAGATGCTGCTACAGCAGCCTCCTGCCGCATGCTGTCATAGCTCCCTGGAGTGCTCCACGGATGCACGACCTGGACTGTACTTGCTGAGTCACTGCTGTGTGGAGCCATGCCGAGCCTGTGTGTACCCTGGACTCACAGTGTGTCTGCACGGCTTGGATAGCACCACATTAGGTCCCTGCCGTGTGGAATCTCCCACATCTGGGAACCTGCAGTCTCTGAGCATCTGCACACTGTCCCGCTTGGTCACAGCCATGTTCCATTCATGGGCTGAGACACAGGAGCCCAGCGCTCCGTGAAGCAGTCACTTCATGCCCACAGTCTGGACTCCACGTGTACCACACAGAGCGTGCTGGCTGAGGATCACCTTGCATGTTTTCTTCACATGGAAGCGGACTGCTGAGGCACAGTCAGCCATACGTGCAAAGTCTGGCCATGGCAGTCTCACCTTATGGTTGTGTGTGCCCACATGGCTGAGGCTCTGTGTACTGCCCATTACAAGTTTCTGGCGGCTGTGTGTGTGAGCGATTTGGGGTGCATGTGAAGCATGCACAACCCACAGCTGGCCACTGTCCTACCTTAGCCCCTGGCCACCCAGCCTTGACCACCCAACCTGGACACATGTGGCTCGGGAGAGGGAGCTCATGCTGCCAGGGCTCTAACCCAACTGTCCCCCTTCTTCACTAAAATGTCCTCAGCGGGGCCGGGGATTTAGCTCAGTGGTTCTGCTGCCTGCCTCGCAAGCACAAGGTCCCAAGTTCAATCCCTGGTTCAAAAAAAAAAAATGTACTCAGCAAAGATGCCACCTCAGTCTCCTTATCTGTAAAGGGCTTTCAGTCTCCTTATCTGTAAAGCTGGTTGTTGTTCCCCTTCGTGTGTGAAGACTGCGGTTAGCTGCAATAGGTACTCAATAAATGGCGTGTGATTGGAGGATGGAATGCCTGAGATTACTCCATCACGTCCACATCAGGGCGAAGTCACAGCTTCTTTCTCTGCTGTTCCATCCACCCTTCCTCCCCACACTCTTAACTGACCCAGCCGCTTAGTAGTTCAGGAGTAGGTATTGCTGTTTCACACTCCTCCCACCATTGCTGGGCTGGAGCTACCCGATCTGAGCACAAGGGCAGGCCTGCCAGAGGATGGGGCAGGCACTGCACATAGGGTAGAAGCTCTGCCCAGAGACAAGGGCAACCCCTGGGCAGCTCTGACTGGAGAGGCAATACCCGCCCATGTGCAGCTGCCTGCCTGGTCAACCTCACAGTAGTTAGCAGCCCTGGCAGGCGGGTCTAGGGCGGCCGAGAGGTGGAGCTGCTTTCTTCAGAGCCTGCCTGAGGCAGGCAAAGGCGGGGTTACCCTATTTCCCCCGGAGCCACAGGGGGCGGTGGTGGCCCCGGCCAGTTCGGTGGCAGGATGGACAGAGGCACGTTAAGAAGCAGCTCTCTGACCAACCCAGGGCCGGGGAGCAGCGAGCAGAGTAGGCACGGGGCAGTGTGGGGCGGATGGGAGTTTGGGGAAAGACCTGGGTGCAGGGAGGGTGGTTCTGGAGGGGAATGAGAGTGTTGGGTGTATCTCCCCGAGGACATCAGTTTGACAGTGGCCTGGAGAAGGGGGAGCACTGTTGTCTTGCAGGGCAGAGGCAGTTGGGCCAAGGGGAAACTATAAATAGTGTCTTCCTTCAGCCCAGAGGGAGGGGCGGCCTCTGGAGCTGCCCGAGTCCCTCCCACTCTGTCCCTTGCTGGCCTTCAAGGGGACATGTTCATCTAGGTCCTCCCCCAAGGGATCATCTAGACTAGGGAGGCCCAGAGGCTTATTTGGAAAGTTGTTCACATCATGTACCCTTAGCCCGAAAACCAGAATTTCTAGGTACCTACTGTGTGCTCTGTGCTGGTCCTGAGCATCTCTAAGTGCCTACTGTGTACTTTGTCTTGCCCATGAGCCTCTCTGAGCCCCTTCTCTGTGCCCTGGCTGGTCCTGAGTCATTTTGCGTACCTACTGTGTGCCTGATGCCAGATTGGAACCAGGAAGTGCAGATCAGAGTGACGGGCTGTTCGCAAATGGATGTATACATAATAGGAAACTCACACTCTGTGAGACCTGGGCCCAGGGAGTCACTGGGGACTATCCTTCCTGGAAATGTCCAGAGGAAGCTAAGATTCCTGGGAACTCTCCCTGCCCCTCAGGGACTGCAGTGTAGGATGGAGGAATAAAGACATAGGGGGCAGCAGAGAGCAGCAAGCTCTGCAATGCCTGCTGGTCCCTTTGCACTCCCTGCCTGGATGTGCAGCTGTGTGTGCAGGTACATGCTTGTGTGCCCTGGGGTGTGCATCTTCACAGCATGACCCAAGCCCCTGGGTCTTTATTCTTTGAAAGATGGACTGGGCAACAGATATGGGGACAGATATGAGCCTTGAGAACTGAGGGTTGAAGACTTTGGCTACCCCCTGGCTTCTACTCTGGGATTGTGGGAGGAGGTCCAGGGACACTGCAGAGAGCACCCTGGGAGCCAGCCAGGGTCAGGCTAAGCAGATTCATGGTAGGGAGAGAGTGAACTGGATATATTCACACACAAGTACACACTGATGTTCGAGCACACTTCCTGTGCATGGGACAGGATAGCTGGCACACTTTGGGATGCCCAGAGGAGGGAGAATCTATGAGGGCCCATTATTTATTGGAAATTTACTGATGCTGGGGGAGCAGGAAGCCAGGAAGGCATTTCAATAGAGGGTAGGAAGCATAGCAGTGGGTCAAGGTGCAGGGGTGAGGTTCTGAAGGCTAGGGGTTCTGCTGAGTCTTTTGTGTACTGTGGACCGGCTCTGTGCCATTGGACCCTTCTCTCCATCTAGATCCTTAGTTTCCTACCTAAGAAGTGAGGCCATGGGAGAAGAGATGGGAAGTATGCTTCGGGTAGATATAGACCTTGGCCTTAAGTAGGGGCCCAGGCTCGTGATGTTGACCTACTCCTTGCCAGCTGGCTATATATGCCTGGAAGGGTGTGTCTGGGTGAGGCCAGGGTCAGCTAAGAAAGGGGTGAAGGTACCGAGTTATGGCATTTCCTGGGAACCAGGCTCAGATTGTCTGGTGTGTAGATAGCCCTAGCCCCCTGCCCTTTCATGGTTGCCCCCGCCTTCCATCTTTTGACTGATATCCAGAGGGGTGGGGAAGAGGAAGGCAGGTCTGAGGAGGGGCTGGGTACCTGTGGATGTTAGAGGAGGCAACTTCTCTAATGGAGTTCTAGGTGTTGGACAGGGTGTATGCATGTGACCGTGAGTTTTCTGAAGTCAAGATGTCCTTGGCAGTGGCCAGGAAATAGGAGTGGCTGTGTCAGTAACAGAACGGGTGCCTTTGGAGAAGCAGGGCCAAGTGGTTTATCACAGGGGCCTGGAGGAAGGTGTATGTGGGGACAGACATTGCAGTTGGGAATTGAGGGAGAAGGAAATGGTATACTTTGCATTCCACAGCTAGAGCTGGTTTTAGGGAGAGTCCAGGTGGGCTTCCAGCATTTAGATCTTCTGAGCCTTTATTTCCTGTGAAATGGGTAAGACATGTGTCTGTCATCTTTTTGTTTTGTTTTGTTTTTGAGATTGGGTCTTGTCTTGTAGAGCAAACTGGTTTTGTTTTTTGTTTTTTTGTTTTCTTTTGAGACAGGGTCTCACTATGTAGTTGAGTCTGACCTGGAACTCACTATGTAGCCCAGGCTGGTCTTGAACTCCCAGCAATCCTCCTGCCTCAGCCTCCCAAGTGCTGGGATTGCAGGCGTGTTCCACCACACTTGGCTAGCAAACTGGTTTTGAACTGACTATGTAGCACAGGCTGGACTCCAGCTCACAACAATCCTCTTGCTTCAGCCTTCCTACTTCCGCTGGGGTTACAGGCATGTGCCACCACCCATGGCTTATGTGTCTGTCATCTTAATGGTCTTTGCCAGGCTTTGAAGTGTCTGGTAGTTTGGAAGCTAGGCTCAAGGCAGGTGGACAGGCCTTCTGGCCACTGGTACAGTGCTGCACCTACTGCAAACAAGGTAAGTTTTACTCCTTGTGCCCCTCACTCCTGTCTGGGTGCACTGTGGGCAGAGAGGATTTGAGGATGCAGGCATCTTAGAGGGTGGAGGATATTGTTAGAGGGCAGTGTATTACAGGTGCAGTCTGAGCTGGTGAGGACTGGAGCAGAAAGTGGCTGGCAGACTCAAAGCAAGAGCCTGCATGCGTCTGGTGGGGCCAAATATAAGACAGTCAGCTAAGTTTCCTGAACTTCTGGAGATATCCCTGGCCCTTTGCCCCCAGAGCATTTTTCAAAGACAGGAGGGAGGTTAATATAATGAATGAGAGCACTAATGTGTTTCAGAGCAATTTTTCAGAGATCAACACATTTAATCTACACCATGATCTTGTAAGACTGATGATCTGTGCACCCTATTTCCCTGATGAAGAGATAGAAGCCATTTTAAAAAATGCATGAATTAAACTCGGCTTGGAGGCACAAGCCTGGAATCCCAGCACTCTGAGGCTGAAACTGGAGGACTGCAAGTTTGGGCCCAGCCCGGGCAATTTAGCAAGACCCTGTCTCAAAATAAAAAATAAGGGGGGGGAGGTACTGGTGATGTCGTTCAGTTCTAAAACCCTTAGTTTAATCTTGTCTCCCCTCATCCAAAATGAATAAATGCATGATTAAAAATTTAATTGGTAAAAATAAAATTTTGGAAAGAGAATTAATATACTGTCAGGGATCAGGGAGTCCACAAATAACTTGGTCACAAGGTCCTATGCATTTGCTCTGGGTGGGCAGGAGTCTAGGCCAAGCTGTCCATAAGCCAAAGCCAGGAGACACCCTACCAAATTTGAAATTTGTCCTATGCCCCTGTCCATGAGATGAAGGGGCTTTTCCGCCATGGTTGATCAGGTAACCCTCCTGAAGTGGTCAGAGACTTGCGGCTTGGAGCAGATGAGGGGGCCCAGCACTCCTATGCATTTGCTCTGGGTGGGCAGGAGTCTAGGCCAAGCTGTCCATAAGCCAAAGCCAGGAGACACCCTACCAAATTTGAAATTTGTCCTATGCCCCTGTCCATGAGATGAAGGGGCTTTTCCGCCATGGTTGATCAGGTAACCCTCCTGAAGTGGTCAGAGACTTGCGGCTTGGAGCAGATGAGGGGGCCCAGCACAC